GTTAGCAGAACTTGACGACGTCAACGTGAATCTAGTTCCCAGGATGATGCCTGTACTGCTTGAAGACAAAGCACTGATGTGGTACCGGAACAACAATAAACAGTGGAACCTCTGGTCAAGCTTCAAAACAGACTTTCTAAAATTTTTTTCTTTCATCTAGATATTTCAAAAGATTAGAAGACGAGGTGCGAACACGATTTCAAAAGAAGCAAGAAAGTTTTAAAGATTATTTACTAGAAATTAAATATCTTATGCGACACACAGGCATGAACCAAGATTTACAATTGGAACGAATATACCGAAATATGCGCACAGAGTACCAAATGTACATCAAACGTCGAGACTTTTCGAGCTTAACAGAATTAGCAATACTAGCAGATGACTTCGAAGAACTTGGCGCAGAACAGGATAAAGTGAGTCGAGGCAGTGTTCGACAGGAAGTGATAGTTGGTCGCATAGAAGTTGAATATCCACAAACGATGGTATTGGAAAATACAGTGAGACGCATACCTACTACGCCGATACAGGACAAACTTATTCCCAGTTCAAATTCCGAGTCACCTATCCTCAACCAGCAGAGAAGTAATCAGCAACGCTACCAACCGACAGCTAAGCAAGTAACAGCACGAATCATACAAGATCAAGATATATTTCAAAATCAACTGTACCAAGTATCAACTCAGCAGAATATCCAACATGTCATGCCAGTTAAAGGAAATCTAAAACCATTCAATCGGAACCAAGTCACAGAAGTTCAACAAATGCTGCAGGTCCAACCATGCGAACCAAAGCAAGAATCACAAAATATTAGGCCCATCAGAGGAAATTCGCAGATGCAAGAAACACAAAGACAAGTAAACCTAAAACTTACAAAGAAGAATCCCGAAGTATTTAAGCCAGCACGAGTTACACCAGATCAGGAAATATTTCAAAGTCAAACAAAGCAAGTATCAGTACAGGAAACATCGCAACATATCACGTCGTTCAAAGAAAACTTAAAATCGTTCAATCAGGACCAAGCCACAGAATTTAAACAAATGCTCAAAATCCAACCGTGCAAACCACAGCAAGATTCAAGACCCAACAAGCAAAATCACAAAGTATCTATACAACAGCGAGTCACACCAAACCGTGAAATAGTATCAGTTGAAATACAAGAACTACAAAACCAGTTAAAATCAAGATTTATCAAAGAAAATCTCGAAGTATGTAAACAACAGCAAGACACCCCAAATCATCAAATATTACAAGTTCAAACACAGAAAGTACAACGACAGAAAGAACCAAGCGTAATCAAAGCGCAAAAACAAAAGATTCAACGGCACAAAGATCCAAGTCCTAGCAAGAAAAATTTACAGGTAGTTAATCAACCAAAAAGAAATCTAGAAAGAATTAACCTAGTCCAAGTCATACAAGATAAACCGCCGTTTCAAATACCACCACCGCAAAGACTCCAACATGTTACACCTACTGAAGAATATCCACGAGTGCAAGAGGCACATTCACAATGTTCACAGCTTCAAGAAGAACAACTTAGGAGACCATCGACCGAATTATTAAGAACCTCGTTACCTTCCATACCTCAAGATCAAGTACACTCAGAGACGTCGCTAATACCGCGACAGGAAATACCCGTCAAACAAGCAAAACAAAATCAACAGGAGATTGAAGTCATCGAAAATAAAACTGTGCAACATCGAATGACTCACAAAACCCCAAGTCCCATTCAAGAATCACAATGTGTTTCACATCAAGGAAAAGATAATTGCACGCAACCGAAAGATAAAGTAGCTATCCCTATGGTGCAAATAAAAGAACAACGTCTCGGAAGTTGGAATTCTTCCAGCAATCGAACTCAGCAAAAACAAATGGAAAGTCAAGGTGAACTCCAGCAGAGCGATCACGACTATATTAACACGCATCAAGACAAGTTTTACAAAGTGTTTAAATCTTCAAAGAAACGAAATAGAAATCACTCAAGCAGGTAGCGGTTCAGATCCAGTTCACTTTCCCGAAGAAGGAGGGAAATGTAAGGATGGAAATTTACACTAAATTTCCACCTACATAAACATGCACTGAAAACAATAACAACACGAACTAAAACACATCAATACAACACAGTTTTCTTTTTTACAAAACGACACACTTTTTATATTTATATTTAAACCTGAAAAAGTAGACTCACTGGTAATAAATGTTGCAAATATCTGGAATTAAATAGATTAATTAATATTTAAAATATTTATTCAAAACAATTTACCAAAACCCAAACCGCCTGCAAGCCTTAATAACATCTTAAACTAATCTGGAATGATATTGAAATGAAATATAAAAATATAATTAAATAAATAAATAATAAACTCACCTTATTTATTGTTAATTATATTTTTATTTTTTTTTAAATTTGTATTTTATTTTAACAAACGAAATAAATAAAAAACCACCACCGACCGAATGTAGTTTAAAACACGTTTTGTAAGAATCAAAACAAAGCAGCGTTAACATAAGAAAACAAGAACTGCCAAAAATATTCGCCGTAAGAGAAACTTAAAGAGAAGTTAAATGCACAAGTTGAGTACCGCACAAACATGAAATAGAAAATCAGAACGGCAAAAATTAAAACAAGAATTACGTGAGATCAGCTGTAAATAAAATGATGCGCTACACAAAAGCTCGGTCGAATGGGTATATAAGACGCGCAATTTTCTTATACGAGAGACTTGGCATATGATCACTAAGGCACATACACCTAGTAAAAAATAAAATAAATTCAAGTCCAAAACAAACAATAATTCTACATCAAGAATTATTATACAAAGTCGAATTATATTATCTCAAGTGGTCGAATTACGTCTAGTGAAGATAATATAATTTTACAGAATATTTATACAAAGGATAATTCCCCATCAGGAATTATCAATACAAAGCTAAAGCAATTCAAATCAATAATTCTACATCAAGAATTATTGCACAAAGTCGAATTATATTATCTCAAGTGGTCGAATTACGTCTAGCGTAGATAATATAATTTTACAGAATATTTATACAAAGGGTAATTCCCCATCAGGAATTATCAATACAAAGCTAAAGCAATTCATATCAATAATTCTACATCAAGAATTATTGCACAAAGTCGAATTATATTATCTCAAGTGGTCGAATTACGTCTAGCGTAGATAATATAATTTTACGGAATATTTATACAAAGGATAATCCCCCATCAGGAATTATCAATACAAAGCTAAAGCAATTCATATCAATAATTCTACATCAAGAATTATTGCACAAAGTCGAATTATATTATTTCAAGTGGTCGAATTACGTCTATCGTAAATAATATAATTTCACGGAATATATAAACAAAGGATAATTCTATATCAAGAATTATCGATACTAACTATATTTTTCCCCTTAGAAAACTTTAAACTATCAAAGTGAATCACAACATCCGAATAACTATTGGAAACACTACAGAGCATCCTGGTATATTCAAATCAATACAGGTCCTTTGGAAGATTTAAGCAGTTACTAATAATATTAAGCTAAACTTTACCAATATTTGTTAATTTTAAAATTTTATTCAACTAAACAATAAAATACAGAAAACATAAGCGTGTCTCTGAATATTTTGGTTTCAATTAAAAATTTATTGTAACGATCCTGGAGAGACTGAGCATACCTCGGCAAATAAGCAACGACTCAAAGAAAGTGTCGTTACACAATAACAATAAAATCATCCCCCTACACAAAGCAAACACAAACAAAACTCTACTTTCATCTTATAGACTCATATTTCTTAATCCTTGCCTTTCTAAAGTTCTTGACAAAATTGTAGCTAATCGACTATGGTGGTTTGCTACTATAAACAAACTTATAGATAACCGTCAAATCGGTTTCAAAAAAGGGAAATCAGTAGCTGACTTTCTAGTATATCTAGACAGTAAGACTACCTCTGCTGTTTCAACTAGAAATCACATATCTATAATTTTCTTATATTTTAACAAAGCGTTTGATAAAATGGGCATCCACTCTGTTATTAATGAGCTCCATTCTTGGAAATTTGGACCCAGGATAATCAAATGCGTTACTAACTTCATATGTAACAGGAAAATCATTGTTCAGAACTCAAACTCATTGTCCTCCTCCCTCCAATTTCACCAATTTCAGTCATATTGTTCATTATCGCTTACAATAAATTAAACAAGATACTTTCAATTCACAAAAATCTTAGCTTCTGCGTCTACACTGATGCATACCACATCTTCAATAAAATAAGCAATAAGACATCGTTAGACCTTAACAAGCTCTTCACCGACATTCTTAATTGGTGCAACACCTCTGGCGCTTCCCTACCAGTTTCAAAATGCAAACATCATCAAATTTGCCGTAGAAGTTGTTATATTTACGTGCTACCATTAATGCAGTCTGCATCGAACTGAACTTTATTTAAAGTACATAAAACTACAAAATATAATTTAATAGAGAGCAAGAGAAATTTGTTGCTCGTTGCGTGGTGATTTGCGAGTGAGGTTGATTTTGCTGTGGCGTTTGATTTGGTGTATGTAATTGGTTAATTCAAATACATAACATTATTCACCTCTTAAGTTCTGAAATCTTCTGGTTGACATCGGCATACTCGTTTTCGTGTGCGTTCACTTCTGCGCACAGAGGTGGGTATTTCTAGAATTTGTTGACCTGCATTTGTATCTTAAAATCTTGAGTTATTTGTTGTTGTGACGGTTCCTTGATGGTTGACTGCTGCGGTTGTTTTAATGGTTCATCGATGGTTGACTGCTGATGTTGTTTTGATGGTTTATAGGCAGTTGGTTGCGGCGGTGTTGACTGGCGCGCTTGAAGTTGATTTTGATGACGGTTACATTGACCAGCCGGTGTCTTAACTAAGTAGACCCTGTTTCCTTCGACTCATTTAGGACCGCTACTGTAGTTGCGTAAAAAAAAACTTTGGAATCCTTGCCGAATTTTGTCGTCACTGGTTGCTTTTATGATGATTTTGTAACCGGTAAAATCTGTGTAAGAAGCGTTCGAATCGTTCTGCCGTGTAGCAACTCTGCAGGAGACTTATTGTTAGAATTTGGCATAGAGCGGTAGGTCACTAAAAATTTGATAACTGCTTCACTAATTGACATACCGTCATCAAGGTTTTTCTTCACAGATGTCTTGAAAGTACGCACGAAACGATCTGCTAAGCCGTTTGAAGCTGGGTGAAATGGCGCTGTCGTGACATGCTGAATGCCATTTTTCAAGCAAAATTTCTTAAACTGTAAGGATGTAAATTGTGGACCGTTGGCACTTACTAACGTTTCCGGCAACCCCACTATGGCAAAAATTGATGTAAACGCCTTTACTGCATCAGTAGAGGTTGTATTTGACAATTGGACAATGTACGGATACTTTGAAAATGCGTCGACACATACGAGCCACATGTGCTGATTGAATACCGGTCCGGCAAAGTCAATGTGAACATGTTGTCACGGACGTATAGCTTCGGGCCACAATTTAAATTCCTTTGGTGGACTGGCTGACGTTCTTTTACATATGTTGCATAACGATGCGAGTGTCTCGATATTTTTGTCGATGCCCGGCCACCAGCAGTATCTTCGCGCTAATTGTTTCATTCGAACTATGCCCCAGTGGCTTTCATGCAACAGTTCAAGGACGCGTTGGCGCAGTTTTTTTAGAAATATAGCCCGATTTGAATAGTCCTGTAAGCAAATAATGTTATCAATAATAACTAAAGCAGTATTACGTTGGAAATATGGTAGTATATCTGCCAGTTGTGGTCCTACGGATGTAGGCCACCCTTGTTGTATGAATCGGTGAACTTTCATGAGAGTTATATCCCTCTTTGTATGAAATCGGATAACCTCTGCATCAATTGGGGTATCCAGCTCTTCAACTGCAAAACAATTGTTTTCTTGATCAAAGTTGTTATCTGGGCCTTCTGGTAGTCTTTAAAGGGCGTCAGCATTCCCGTGTTGTGCTGTAGGTTTGTATTTTATGTCGAACTTATAGGCCATTAGAATATTGCCCACCGTTGTAGTCTATTTGAAGTCGTTGTTAGCAAGTGTTTTCCTGGATTAAAGATATTCGCCAGTGGTTTGTGGTCGGTGAATAGAGTGAACTTACGGCCATACAAATATTGATGAAATTTTTGAACGCCAAATACAATCGCAAGCCCCTCCTTTTCTATTTGACTGTACTTTACTTGATGAACGTTGAGTGTCTTTGATGCGAATGCAATTGGGCGTTCGCTGCCGTCTGCGAAGATATGCGAAATTACTGCACCAATACCTGATGGTGAAGCGTCGGTAGCGAGAATTATTGGTAAGTGAACTAATTGTGTAGCATTCACTATATGCTTCTTTAAGGAATTGGACGCCTCTTCATGTATGTGTGTCCAATTAAAACGAATATTTTTCTTGCGAAGCTGATTTATCGGAGCAGCGATTTGCGACATGTTAGGAATATAATTATAATAATAGTTTATCTTACCCATTAGCGCTTCCACTTCTTTCAGATTTTTAGGCCGTTTTAAGTTTTGAATGGCTGTTACTCCTGATGGTTCTGGCAAAATGCCTTCTGCGCTTATACGCCTTCCTAAGTAATCAATGTGGTTTTGAATAAAACTGCATTTGTTTCGTTTGCACTTGATGCCATACTTCTTAAGTATTGAAAAAACTTGATCTAGTCGTTGTATATGTTCCTGTACAGTGGTTGACGCAACGATGATGTCATCGAGGTAATTTCCACACCTGTCGATACCTTGCAGAATTTGTTCAAGATATCTTTGAAATATTGCCGGCGCACTAGCTATACCATGACAATATTCATGACAACCAGCTTTTTTGAGTCTTCATCTAACTCCAGCTGTAAGTATGCATCCTTTAAGTCAATTTTAGAGAAAATACGGCCATAGCGAATTTTGTGAAATAACTGCTCCCATGTTGGTAATAGAAACCGTTCAATTTTGATTTGACTATTAATAGTTACTTTAAAGTCCCCGCAAATACGAATACTGCCGTCCTGCTTTGGTGCGAGTACAATTGGAGAAGCCCAATTGTTGAACTTAACAGGTTTCCAAATACTGTTTTGCAACAGTCGATCAGCTTCCACGTTAAATTTTTCAAGTAGGGCGAATGGCACCTGACGACATTTAAAATATTTTTGTGCAGCCGTAGACTTTAATTTGATGCTCACTTTAAAATCAGAAATCGGTCCTGTTGCCGGTTCAAACAATTCTTGGTACTTTGTTAATAATTTTTTAGATTCTTCTTGTACCATCATTGAGTCCTGAATAATATTATTCACTTGCACAATATCGTAATTAAAAACTTGAAATAAATCCATGCCAAATAAATTTTGACCACTTTCGAGTTTAGCAACAATCAACACTGCTTCTTTTTCTAGTTTTCCACATTTTATTTTTATTTCGTATTCGCCTAAGGTTTCTATCACCTTTTTACCATAACCATAAATTAGACGTGTGCAATTTTGAAGTTTTGGCCTGCCTAACTGATTAAATGTCTTTTGCGTTATGACCGAAACCGATGAACCTGAATCCATTTGAAAACTTATTGTTTTATTTAAAATTTCCACATTAATATATTTTTTCTTTTTAATTTTTATTTCTTCTACTGTCGTATTATACACATTTTCAATACATGCTATTGCGTTTGCTTGTGCACTATTCTTTTTATTCTTTTTCGCTGTAATTTTTAATTTTCTTGTATTTGCTTTGTTGTTAATGTTGCTCAAGCACACTTTTGCTATATGTCCAACTTTATTGCAGACAAAGCAAACAGCTTCTCTAAATTTGCAGTCGATACGTCGATGAGAGCCTCCGCAGCTGAAACATTTTTTCTTACTTTTCTCTTTTTGTGCTCTATTTGTGACGTGATTTCATTAACTAACGGCAAACTCTCTTGGAGTTGTTGTTGTTTAATAGAATTTGTAGCATTAGTCGTCGAAGTAAAAGACTTTGCAATTAATAAAACATTTTCCAATGTAGGTTTTAATTTCTGAAGTGCCGCTGCTCTTACGGTGTCATGAGGTGTATGCAGAATTAACATGTCCCTAATCATTTCATTAACATATGATTTGGTACAATTTTCACCTATACATTGAAATTGGCATTCTCTAGCAGCTGAATTAAGAGGAATCTCTTAATTCAGCTGCCCATTCCCTGTATGTTTGCGTTGGCTTCATCAAGCACTTATTAAAATTATACCGCGCTGCTACCACATGAATTTGTTCTTGGAAATGTTCCGTCAGCTTTTGCACCAACTCAGCAAATGGAATGCCCTCCAAATCATTCTTCCCGAATAATTTTTTTTAATAACTCAAAAGTCTCACCACTAACACATATTAAAAAAAACGCTTTCTTTTTGAGCTCTGTGGTGACTGCATATGCCGAAAAATGTTGAGTCATCTGCTGCATGTAGGATTCCCACTTAGTGTGCTCCTTTCCGAATGCTGGAAATGTTGGAACCAATGTACCTTCATTAGTACTTGAAGTGACTCCCCGTAGTATTGTTTGTAAAAATCCTTTCTAGTCATCCAAAAGGCTTTTCATAAAAGCGTTCTGATCCGCTATTATCTTAGCAAATGCAGTCTGCAGCGAACTGAACTTTATTTAAAATACATAAAACTACAAAATATAATTTAATAGAGAGCAAGAGAAATTTGCTGCTTGTTGCGTGGTGATTTGTTTGATTTGGTGTATGTAATTGGTTAATTCAAATACATAACAGAAGTTAAAATCCATTCAGCCCAATTCAATATACCCACCACAGGTTTTTTGAAAATCCTTGGTATGACCGTCAACAGACATTATACCTGGAATACCCATATAGAAAATCTCGCCCTTTCATTATCTAAAAGCCTAAATATTATAAAGTGCCTTTCCAGCGCCAAATTTAACTGCAACGCAGCCAATATTATTAGTATAATAAAATCCACAATAATTGCAAAACTAGATTATGGACTTTACTTTACGGTTTCTCACCTAAATCACTCTTCAATAAGTTTAAGACATTTTTCCACTCAGCTATCCCACGAGGTTTTAGAGCCTTCCCATCAACACCTATCAACCACCTTCGTTATGAAGCTCAAGTCATGCAACCTGAGATGAGAAGAAACCTTCTCCTAATTTGGCGGTCCAAATTATCAGAACTAATTCTTAACTGTAGACATTCCCCCTTATTCTTAAAAATAACGAAAACTATTAGAGCATGGAATACCATCTCTGTTTCTAAAACTTAAGAGTGCTCTAGAAAGATACTCCTTTATATATACAGATAGTTCAAAATCTGACCTCGCGACATGCTTTAGCATAACAACTGACTCCTCTATAATTAAATCCACACTTCTTCCATCGTACACCTCAGTATTCACATCAGAATTAATAGTCATCTACGAAACCCTCATTATAGCTAAAAATAAGAAAGGTTTTTTTTGCAATTTGTACAGATTTTATGTCCACAATCCAATATATATCCAATTCAGCTAATCTGAACTTTTACGCAACTGCTATCGGAAATATTCTATCCTCTAATCACAAACGTCTTACCCTTATTTGGGTCCCTGGTCATTCTGGGATACGAGGAAATGAACTAGCAGATGAAACAGCAAAAAATGCCAGAAAATACCCGTCCATACTTACTGAAAACCGTAATAGCTCAGATCTCTCTAGTTATATAGATACTGTCGTTAAAAGCAAATTCACCGAAATCTTTGATAACTCCTCCTCTCATTATAAAAACATTAACTTCAATAAAACTTTCATTTTCAGTTTCACCCCTCTTAAATATGACTATAAATTCCCAATTTATTTAACATGACATACCAATTTAACCCATTCAAATTTATTCAATAGATCACCACCACCCTGTTGTCTGTTTGCAGGATTTTATATTCTATACACCATTTAGCCTTCTCCTATCTACACCCTCTCCTATCCACAAACCCCCCTTTGCTTCCCAATAAAAAAAAAATTAATAAAACAAGTAAGCTTAAAGTCAAGTAGCTTACAGTAGCCTACAGCTTCTGTAAATTTAAGTCAGATATAATTTTTAATTATGTTATATCTTTCTTAATAAATAAATAAATTTCAGAAGTTGCTGTGAGTTTATCACCTTCTTTATTAAAAATGTCATTAAAATCGGAAAATAAATTTGTTATTATTAACTTCTTTATTTAAATGGTCTAATTTAATATTTTCATACATGTTCTCTCTACCTTCCAAAATACATATTGATTCTTAATTAAAAGTATATATTTGTTCTAAATTATTTTATTTCCAAATATATCAATGAATTTTTTTCTAAATCAATTTTTGTTTTGAATGCAGTAAGTTAATTTTGTCCTATGATTGCATCGTGTTTATTATTGACAAAATCGATTATTTTCCATGTTAGGGTACCAGTAACAATAAATTCCTTAGGAATAGGAGTAGTGATTTCAAATTTGCACTGATTAATACCATTAATAGATCGATACAAAAATGGTTTTAATAAACCATTTATGATTTTCTTTTAAAATATTTGGTTTAATTATGCTAACAGAAGAACATGTATCTATTAGGCATTTTATTATTTGCTTACCTATTGAAATAGCCACTGTCGGTAATTTAAATGTTGAGACAATGTTAAAAAATTTACTTCATGTTCCTCAATATTACAAAAATCCTCCGATACAAAGTCTATTACGGCTTTCTTCTGTGTCTTGTGTATCTACACTCATTTTTGATAGTCTTGTTTTGTTTGAATTATTAAACTTGTTATCACTATTATAATAAGAGTTTCGAGTATTTTGGAAGTTTCTGAAGTTATTAGAAAACGTGTGAGTATTTCTATTTTTGTATTGGGAATCTGCAATTTTGTAATATGAGTTTTCGTCTTTGCAATTTTTTTTATGTCTTAAATAATTATTTGTAGTATTCTGATTGTAACTATTTTTTATTTGTTGTTCATTATCATTTGAATAGTTATATTTTTTTTGTTAAGTTTTTTATTTTCTATGATGCATCTTGAATCATCAAGCAATTTCAATTTTGCATATCTTCTATAAATTGTATTTATTGTTTCATATTCCTAGATATGAACTAACATTTCCACTTCTTTTTTCTACTAGAATATGAATCAGATCCCCATTTATATTTTCTGGTTTATACAACTCGGGTTTATCCTCAACAAATTCATACATATTCTTTAGATTATATTTTACATTATTTATTTCATTAAATAATTCTTGTAAGTTACTAACCTTTATATCACTTGCTTAATTAAATAATTCTCCATAGGTTTTGTTCGGCGTAAGATGTTGTTTCAGTGTAGTGGTAATATCTTGTCACGGGTCTTGCAGCTTCTCCTATTAACTTCTCATTTATTAGTATCTGCATTAACATACTCCTGGATTTCCAACGCATAAAGTTATTCTACTGTCTACCAATTTTATAAATGATATAAGACTGTAGTTTTTATTATCCGAAAATGATCGGAGTTGCCTGAGTTGGTCAAGTATCTGATGTGTCTGTAATATTGGCTCCAATACAGATCGATTTGTTGATTGAAGTACCTGCTGTTGTTGCGAAAGTTGCAGGTGTGCAATTATTTGTTCCTGCTTTTTGATTAGGTTTCCTTATTCTTCAAATTGGAGGTTCAATTTTTCCAGATCTGTTTGCTCCATTTTGAGAATTTTATCGAATAATTAAATTCGATTTAAACTGATCATATAGGTATTGTTTAAAAGTTTGTAATTAATATATTGAACATTTTAATTTTTTCGTGCACTATATGAATTTGCAATAATTGTTAGTTTTTTATTTTACATTTTTTTTTTGTTTACTTTGTTCTGAAATAAATGTTCTTTTATCTTCGCGGCTTACACGTAAAAATCAGATTAATTCTTTAAAACTAACTCCATTGACTGCGCCAATTAAACAAATTAGAAACCAAAGCTTAACTTAAATGTTTCTTTATTGAAATGAATCTTAAGACTAATTTATATCTAACATTTTTGCTTATATTTATAACAAGGATTTGAAGTATCGTATCCTGATAATATATTAGTTAGGCCAGACAAATTTTCTTTGTCGTAAAATATAATAGAACTTGTAATGAAATAAATGTTTCGTTGTTTGGTTAGGCCAGACAACGATAATAAAGTATAATATAATGAGATAAATGTTTCGATGTTTGGTTTGGCCAGACTATATGATATGGAAATTTAATTTGTTTTTGAAGATGGTTTGTTTAGGAACAAACGATCTGCTTAGTTATCTTTATAGCTCATTTCTGTTATGATGATGAGTCCAGATAATATAAAATGATAGATATGAGGTATGGGGATGTGACTCGCTCACCAAAAATGACAATATACAAACCACGTCGAAGATTGCCGGTTGCAAACAAAATAAATGAGAAACAGAATACGAACAACAATACACCCATACAATGATTTCAAAAATACAAACCAACTGTAAACAAAACAATTGCGTTACATTACAGTTTGGTCGAATGCGTGTATAAGGCGACTCATTGTCATTAGCTGTCGAAGGCATCGCC